AGATGTACCTACAATTACATTGTACGAAATCATGGCAGGGTTATAAAATGAAAAGGCAGTTCAGAAATTTCACCTAATGATCACAGATGTTAAAAAATCCAACTTAATTATATTTAATTTGACAATTTAAACGGACTTAAATGCAGTATGATCTGACATCGGACATCATAAACTATTTAATTTCTAAGTAAGGTTATCAGAATTTCCTTTTCACATTTTATTTTTAATGCTGAAATATTTGTGTGTGAATAAAAGAGTTATTCCTGCAATAATTCATATAAATAACATAAACAAATTTTATAATAAAGCTTGGCAAATACAATCGATTGCCGCCGATACCTGTGTTACACCATGGGAATTTTACAATTTAACCATGACACCGCTTGCGTCATTCCTTCAATATTTCAAATATGGCCGCTTTCAATAATTTTCAACGATTTAAAAAATCAAAGTGGAATATTTAGACTTCTGTTCGACTTTGAAGTAAGATAATTTGGAACCTTGCATAAAAAACGATTCTCTTTCAGGTAATGTAGACCGTTTCTTTGAAACTTTTCTAGTTTTCGCTCCCAACAACTTCTAATTGGGAAGCGTCCGTGCATAAAAATGCAGTTCGTGGTTGGACTTGGAAAAAGACAGCGCCCGTCCAAAATTTTCTCGGTGTCTCTTTGACAAGTCTAATTACTTGGACTATACCTGCTATATAAATTGTCTGTAATCCGTGTTCTCTAGGGGGCAACGCTACCGGAGAGGATTGCAGGTTTTTATGTAGTAGAAAGTAAACCGGGCTGCAGGATATTTGTTGGATAATTGTTTGTAGATAATAAAATAGAAGCATAGGAAATACGAGCATAGTATAATAGGTAGGCATCGAGACGGGTTATATGTTAGAAGGCACAGAGACTAGGAAAGATTAGGGATTGTAAACAAATATATCAATATTGTGTATTGTTTATCTAATATGTGTTTAATTCAAGTTGATTAATTTATATTCCAATTATTTTGAAATCATTGGTCTTCAATCATTTAGGTAAGGAAACTTAGAGGAAAATTATTAATATAATATATTGAATACAAATACATATATTTAAGCTCGGTATATGTTACATAAGTATATCTTCCTCTTTTCTAAAATTGCTTACGGTTTTTTACAAAAGGGAAGTATATTTCTCACCCTGATTTTAATTTTTGTCATTTTAACAATTTATTATAATTAATTTACAACTATACTTAAAAACGAACAATTTATTTAAAATAAAAAACTATGTCAGGTATCTTGACAACTTCCAAAAAAGTGTAAAAAATACTTTAAATTTAAGATAACCTGTGAAAATGTAATGCTGTAAAAAACCCAGTTTAAAAATATTTTCTGCAACTTTTTACATGTTTGAAGGTAATCTACAATCAGTTTTAATTTTTCATAATTGAGCCCACCCGATCCTACTTTGCTTTTGTCATATTGTTCAGACCTGAGAAAGCTAGAACTAGCTGCTGCTCGGACAACACATAAAAGGTTTAATACATCTGACTAGATCCCTTATTTGTTTAAAAATACATTTCAAACCGTTTTGTTAGAATTTATTAAAGTAGACAATTGAAAACAATTATTATAAAATATACCTAAAATTGAATATTATACGGTAGAATTTTTATCATTCGGAATAAAGCTTAACTCCCCTTAATTATAATCATTTGCTTTCATTTAACAATGTGTTTATTTAAGGTTACAACTAGCAAATACTTTGACAGTTTATTTCTAAAGTCAACAGTTCAACGATCTATGTTTTGTCTTTATGTTAAATAAATTAAAAGGTTCCTCTCAAATAATGTGACCACAAACAAACTTAAAAGTTGAAATTAAAGAAATTCTTGTACGGATTCTTTGCGAATTATAGTTTCTCAATCTTCTTCAAAGATTAAACATATTTTTAAGTTTTTTGGAGTTTGTTCTCAAGCGACTTCAAAAATGATAACATTCAAATGTGTACGGATTTAACTTGAGCATGCATACTCAATATTAGGATATGTTTCAATTGTCATTCTAAATAATGTAAGTCTACGGGAGCCTGGCCTTGAAAAAATACAACACGCGCTCACTGATTGGATGAACGAGTTAAATTTACCGTGAATCGTATTTCGCCTAATAAAGCGGTGTACTAGATAGACAAGGACTTTAACTCGCATTTGTTCCGTGTTTATGTTTGGTTGTGAATCGAATCGAAATTCTTATATATGATATCGGAATCGAATCGGCGCCCACTTAACCGATTTTTGATGCATCGGATCAATCGTTTCACATCTACAACTTATTTAAAGTTAAATATTCATAACGGTCTTATCCTAAAAAATGTTCTGTTATAGTATTATGTGAATCCATTCAATTATATCAAGTTATAGCAAGTTCCAGCAATGGCACGAAAATTGAATAATTGGATCATCATTGTTAATGTGATTTATGATTGAAGGTCAAAGTCTGTCAAATTAACTCATAAGTATATCTTAAAACTATTTTGTTCAAGTTTGAAGACAATCCAATTAGTAAAAAAAAACAATTCTTATACCACTTAAAGCAAAAATCAGGAAAAATACAAGTAAAATTTAGACATTTGACCTTAAATGTTTAAGTCATTAAGAAAAGGAGGTAACAGTTAGTCTGGGCTACTTGAAGGTCTTGTCCAAAGGGTTGTTCTGACCAAGTATGAAGGAAATTCACCAAGAACTTAAAAATATGATGTAGTAATCACAAGTTTACGTACGGAAACGCTAGGTAACGCTGACATGACTGTTACAATACCTTTTTTTTTAAATTTCAAGCTTAAAACAACTGAAGTGTCAGGTTAAGCATCATATTCTGCAATGCAACTCCGAAAATTCACACCTAGGCTTTTAAATGAAAATAGATATTTTGATATAACAACATCTTATTCACGCTGTCACTGCAATTCATCATATAAGAGCAAAACAGAGATAGACAGTGCATCTGACAGCAAGATTAAAGGGCGATATTATTTCTTCTCTTACAAAGTGCTAGTGGAGCTTACTTTCAATACATTATCATCTTTATTCTTCACATTATTTATTCATTATATATGGTTAAAGGAAGTTGTTTACTGGTACATTGTTTGATATTTGGAAAAAAAATTCATTCATAAAAAAATATTGAAAATAGACACGCACTCAAAGATTTCTTTCAGCACATATCAATAATAAACGCTTACATTTTAGCCTATAACGTTTAAACGCGTCTAAAAACGGCAGATAAAAGTACCGTTGAATTTATCTCCCGTCAAAATAAGGAAGCTAAAGTGTTCATATGAAACATCTGTATTCAATCCGCAATGTAAGTAAATAAAGTAAGTTTTCATAAATGCTATCTCATTCGAACTACAACTTTCAAAAAGTATGTATTGACCAATTTGCTAAATACTCTGATATTAACTATTTTGTTTTGCCTTTTTAGCAAGTCATGTATTATAATTCAATTTATTCATTTATTGTTTTTATTATTATAATTATGATTATTTCTAGATATTTCTAGAGCGTGACACATGAAGATATAGAACCAACGTGTCTTTATATATCATGTGGCCTATAAAACAAATGAAAAAATGGCTGCCCTAAAGAACGACCAGAGCCTCAAAATAAAACACTGCTTGGTTTGAATAAGCTTGTAAATGAACGGTAGAAATAAATTCTATCTACCGCCCACGTCCCCTAGCACCGACTTTACCATTTTTGAGGATACAAACATGAAAATTGTGCAATATTGAATGATTACGCATCCACATATTTATTTATACAGCTGTCATTATGCACCCTTTAAAGCGGCATACAAGCGGCGTTTGTTCCGGAAGTAAAAACAACGAAAATTTCAAAGTAAGATTACTGAAAAGGAACAAGGATCTATGTGTAAGAAGGTATAATGTTAAACTTATACATAAACAAACGTACGTACACGTAATTTAGAACCTTACACATTTATAATATCAATACTATCAGTATTAAAGGAATTCAAATTGGTTGCATCGTACTTCACCTCAGTGTTGAAACATCTTTACGGCCAAGTCTTTGTTATTCCAAGTCCAAATTGAGTAGCGCTTAAGCCGGTGCTAGGAAGTTGCACTTTTTCAGTATCCCTCTTGTACAGACTCAATCAAAACGAATCTGCATTTTTCATGTAATTTTGTTGTGATTAAAGTGTATAAAGCTTTATATCTGATGAAAAAACTATTGTTTGAACTATAAAAAATTATGGTAATTTATTGCCTTAAAAGCGAATGGCGTATGCACAAAATCATTGCTACACGGATAAAACCCTTCTTAAAATAGCAAAATAATGTTTTGACCCGAAACATCTTATTCTGTTTTCGTACATTATTAAAGTGTATTTAATATCATTAAAGATCCTGTAACTCATTTTTTTTAACTGTAACTAAGTTTTTTTTATCATAAATATACTGCTCAAATGAAGATTTATCAATATTGTCAGATCCAAAAAGCATTTTTTTCGTAAAGATATTACCGAATTTACATTTCATGTTAATAAAGGGGGGTAATTAGGAATTTATTTTCTATAAAGTCTTAGTCAAATTTTTCAATAAGAAATGCATGCATATATTTTAATGATTACATATAATTTGGAGAAATGTTTGGATTAATATTTTACATATTCTTCGATGTTTGAAAAATGTTTTAAAAGCAAAAGTATATACATGTATAAACTTTCACTTAAGTGTGGTAACAACCTTAATTTCAACAAACAGGATCTTTAAATAACAGGGACATTCTATGTTACATTTTTTTCGGGAATCAACCAATGATAATGCAACCAATACAATTTTACTGTTGATTTTTTTTCCAAATATTTTACTAAATATAGATTTATACATTTTAATGCTTCCGAGGGAAGTTTATCAATTTTTTTTTATGATAAGTTATAATATATTATGCTGATATATAAATGGCATATTTCAAAAAAAAAATTAACAAGCAAAGGTTACCTGGTTGACATAATATTCCAACATCGTCACTATGAGCACAATTATGTTCTCCCCAAATTCTATGGGGACATTGAATTAAGCTTGTTTCAGTCCCCTTACAACCAACATCATCTAAATGTATCGGTAATGTTCCCGTACCGAAGTTTGCGGACGGGAATACCAGAGGATTAGTCCTGAAATGAAAATTTATCTTATTAACCAAACTCATATATAATTAAATTAAATTTAATTATAATAGTATAATTAATATTTCAAGAAGTAAGGGAGCTTATTATTTATTACTATTTCATTTTTTTCAATTAATCTATGATGCATTTTTAAGATTAAAAACATGGACTAAACCAATTGAATCTTAATTATTGTCAACACTGTAGTGAGAAGTATGTGACCAATAGTACTATTTAATTCACTGATAATACAAATTGAGAACAAGAAACATGGCAATGCCATGAAACCAGGTTTTCAATTATCACCATTGTAGATAAATATGTTGTATTTGAAATACAAATACAAGCAACAAACAATGTAACTATGCGCAATGTAAAACATGAATAATGTAGGAGGAATTGCCACTGAAGAAGTGTTCACTATAATATTATGTATAAGGAAAAAAACAAAGGGCCATAATTAGGTCAAAAACTATCCAATCACAAAACCCCGACAATATGTGCCAGGGTGCTTGATGACAAAGCTTCTGTGAAAGTTTGAACAAAATCCCTTGAGAAATGTAGGACGAGTTCAGCACAGAAGAATTTGTTCACTATAATTATATTGATAATTCTGTATAATGAAAAACAAGTTACAAAGTAGACATGAAATAATATATCATATCTTTTTTAAATTACCTCCAAAGATGATATGACCTTTGACTGCCAAATCAAGTTAAAATCATGTAAACAGGATTTTCAATGTTAATGTCACTGTGACCTTGACCTTGGAGCCAGCCATGCGGAACATGCGTTCTGCACGTCATCTTGATGTGGTAAACATTTGTCTGAAGTTTCATCAAAATTCTTCAAAGGGTTGAAGAGTTACAGAGCGGACAGGATTTTTCAATGTTTATGTCACTGTGACCTTGACCTTGGAGCCAGCCATGCGGAACATGCGTTCTGCACGTCATCTTGATGTGGTAAACATTTGTCTGAAGTTTCATCAAAATTCTTCAAAGGGTTGAAGAGTTACAGAGCGGACACAATTTCGTTTGACGCCCGAAGTTAAAATCATGTAAACAGGATTTTCAATGTTAATGTCACTGTGACCTTGACCTTGGAGCCAGCCATGCGGAACATGCGTTCTGCACGTCATCTTGATGTGGTAAACATTTGTCTGAAGTTTCATCAAAATTCTTCAAAGGGTTGAAGAGTTACAGAGCGGACAGGATTTTCAATGTTAATGTCACTGTGACCTTGACCTTGGAGCCAGCCATGCGGAACATGCGTTCTGCACGTCATCTTGATGTGGTAAACATTTGTCTGAAGTTTCATCAAAATTCTTCAAAGGGTTGAAGAGTTACAGAGCGGACACAATTTCGTTTGACGCCCGAAGTTAAAATCATGTAAACAGGATTTTCAATGTTAATGTCACTGTGACCTTGACCTTGGAGCCAGCCATGCGGAACATGCGTTCTGCACGTCATCTTGATGTGGTAAACATTTGTCTGAAGTTTCATCAAAATTCTTCAAAGGGTTGAAGAGTTACAGAGCGGACAGGATTTTCAATGTTAATGTCACTGTGACCTTGACCTTGGAGCCAGCCATGCGGAACATGCGTTCTGCACGTCATCTTGATGTGGTAAACATTTGTCTGAAGTTTCATCAAAATTCTTCAAAGGGTTGAAGAGTTACAGAGCGGACACAATTTCGTTTGACGCCCGCCCGCCCATCCGCCCATCCGCCCATCCGCCCATCCGCCCGCCATACCCCAATCTAATAACCAGGATTTTCAAAATTGAAAACCTGGTTAAAAACACAAGGAACATCGCAATGCGATGCAACCAGGTTTTCAGCAAAATATTTCACAGAAGCTTTGTCATGAAGGGGCATTTGTTTTTAATTGAACTTTTAGGAGGAATTATGGCTTTTTTAATATTCCTCAAACAAAAATGATTGAGAAATTTTATGTTGTCTATTCGCCTTTTTTTCCCAAATGTTTTAGAAAGGTAAACAGTACTTTATTTTTGCTTAATTTTTGCATTTTTGCGTCTCTTGTCATTTTCTTTTGTCAACAATATTGGCGTGTGGTGTTTTGTGCGATATCAAGAAAAGTATGTTCACAATTTTAAAAAAATACTTGAATGATGTCTTGGAAGAAACATGGGAATTTAGTGAGCGCCAGGGCACTTGATGACAAAGCTTCTGTGAAAGTTTGGTCAAAATCCATTGAGAAATGTAGGAGAAGTTGAGCACTGTAGAAATTGTTCACTATATATTCTGTATAAGGAAAAAATATACAAAGGGCCATAATTCGGTCAAATATTATCCAATCACAAAACCCCGACAATATGTGCCAGGTACTTGAAAACAAAGCTTCTAAGAAAGTTTGGTCAAAATCCGTTGAGAAATGTAGGAGGAGTTGAGCACAGAAGAAATTGTTCTCTATATATTCTGTATAAGGAAAAAATATACAAAGGGCCATAATTAGGTCAAATATTATCCAATCACAAAACCCCGACAATATGTGCCAGGCACTTGATAACAAAGCTTCTAAGAAAGTTTGGTCAAAATTCGTTGAGAAATGTATGAGGAGTTGCGCACAGAAGAAATTGTTCACTATATATTCTATATAAGGAAAAAAAACAAAGGGCCATAATTAGGTCAAATATATACCAATCGCAAAACCCTGGCAATATGTGTCAGGGCACTTGATGACAAAGCTTCTGAGAAAGTTTGGTCAAAATCCGTTGAGAAATGTAGGAGGAGTTGCGCACAGAAGAAATTGTTCACTATATATTTTATATAAGGAAAATAAACAAAGGGCCATAATTAGGTCAAATATTATCTAATCGCAAAACCCTGGCAATATGCGCCAGGGCACTTGATGACAAAGCTTCTGTGAAAGTTTGGTCAAAATCCGTTGAGAAATGTAGGAGGAGTTGCGCACAGAAGAAATTGTTCACTATATATTCTATATAAGGAAAAAAAAACAAAGGGCCATAATTAGGTCAAATATATACCAATCGCAAAACCCTGGCAATATGTGTCAGGGCACTTGATGACAAAGCTTCTGAGAAAGTTTGGTCAAAATCCGTTGAGAAATGTAGGAGGAGTTGCGCACAGAAGAAATTGTTCACTATATATTTTATATAAGGAAAAAAAACAAAGGGCCATAATTAGGTCAAATATTATCTAATCGCAAAACCACGACAATATGCGCCAGGGCACTTGATGACAAAGCTTCTGTGAAAGTTTGGTCAAAATCCGTTGAGAAATGTAGGAGGAGTTGCGCACAGAAGAAATTGTTTACGCCCGCCCGCCCGCCCGCCCGTCCGCCCGCCCGCCGACATACCTCAATCTAATAACCAGTTTTTTCCTTCGGAAAACCTGGTTAAAAACTATTATTGTTCTAATTAAAAATTAGTTGTCATATCATGTTTATTCAAGAAAGGAATGTGTCTTACTAATAAGCGTTTAAACTATCGTGATAGAACAGTAACTAATTATTAGCATAATTATATAACAGCACAAGTGAGGATAAACTGGTGGATATTTTAATGCATAAATCTAGATAGCCTATGCTTTGATAGTATGTGTAGATATAAGTCGCTTCCATAATCGTACACAGTTTCCGATACCTTCCTGCTGTCTATATTATGTTTTGATTATATATGAGAATGCATGACATCCATACAGAAAGAACGCCTGTACAATGTAAATACTCCATGTCTTCAAATCGTGGGACTACAGTGTTAAAATACCTGCTACATGTTTGAATATTTAGTAAATTACTGATACTCGTTCATAAAGCCTTTCTAAGCATTGTTCTGTATCCAGGTTTTATAGAAGATTTTTGGTTAAAAAAAGTGTTATGACGTCTTATTATACTTCTGCAAATGTCGGCTAGTTATAGTCAATACTATTCTTAATACATTGACAAAATGAGTGGCTAATGAATATTTTCCCAAATCACATGTAATTTCCCGTAATGCGTATCACCAAAAAGAGTGGAATGCTAACCTAAGACATAGCTCAGCATGAATGGTGTGAATATCGTATGTCAAGCAAAATACAGTTTGTATTATTCTACGAATTTCAATTTTGAGACATTTTTCCTCAAATTACCAAGTTGTTTTCTGATAGAGGATGTTCACGTACACAATAAAACAATCTTATGTCAATTTTTGTTAATTATGATCTTTGTTTCATTTCATATGCATGATTTGAGAATGTTCAATTTACTGTGATTTTTTTTACAATTAAAATGGTTTATATTACGTAATTTGGTGTTTTCATATTGTTGTACATGTAAACATTATCATGCAACTGTATATAGATGCGTTTCTATTTCAAATCTTTTGTTAAAACATAATTCATCCTTTCATAATGTTTTATATTTAAAATCAATGCGTTGCCCGTTTGATCACAACATTACAACAACGTAAGTCTTGTAGCTTTAAAAAAAAAAGAAAAAAGACTGCTTTTGGAACGGGAATTGCAATTATGCTCTGCTGTTTTAGTGTGTCTGTAAACATTAACACCCCGTCCTTCGCCCCCACTTTTCCCCAATCTCCAAAAAGCAAATAAAAGGTTATGAAACGCAGATAAAAATTCAAACAATAAATTAATTTTCCAAAATAAGAGAAAATGAAAATTCGTTTTACTTTGTTTGAGTTTTTGTGGGGGGCGACTTTTAAGCTTTACTGGTGGAGACACGCCTTAGGTGCCCTTCCGCGCATTATTTCAGGCACATGAGTAGAGCCCAAGTCGTTCGTAAATTCTCACATGTAAAAATCCAAAGTCCTGTCGGCATTCGAACCCACAACTGTAAGTTGGGGTGAATTTTTTTAAGTCAACGATCTTAACTACTCAGAAACGCAAGCCCCGCGTTTTTTTTTTATTATTGTTCGAAAATCGATTGAAAATGTTTTGACAAATCGCAATTTGGTTTGCATTAATAAACTGCTTTTCGGTTCTTAAGTGCTTTCTTCAGTATAATTTTTCTTTACTTCTTATTCCAT